GCGAGGGCTTGGGGCTCGCCCAGTCCGAGGCTGGGTCCTTTGAGCCCGCGCCGGACGCCGCCGCCGACGCGGCGGCCGCGCCGGAGCACCCCTCTGGCGGCGCATGGCGGGGGCGATGCGAGGACTGGCGCCTGGCGACGGCGAGCACGCCCTACGATTGTGGAGGACGATCATTGGAGAGGAAGCATGTTGCCAAATATGATCCAGATGTCTAGAAAAGGAGGTACAACGGCTTCAAGCATGTAAAAAAACATTTTTTAAACACATGTCCAGGGCATCTTTCATACATTTGGAACACATGTTTCATTTGACGATAGGACTGTTAGGGTGTCCATTGTCGTGGCATCCGCAACCCTGCTCGTCCGAGTCATGGCTGTGCCGGTGCCTCCTGCCCAGACCCCCATCGAGTTATGGGAAAGTCACGACGGGAGTTTTTTTTTTTATATATATATATATATATATATATATATATATATATATATATATATATGGCCTTTGGGGGCCCTCACCGGCCCTCGGGACCGTCAAAAAACGACTCGGGACGAAACACCGGTCCGGGGGAATGGGTCCAGACCGCCGGGGGGCGACGCCATGAAAGATTCCTGACGTCGGGGGTCTGGGTGGGCTGCTGCCCAGAGCCCAGCGGGAGCCGTGGAGCTTGGGCGAGTGCGCGGGGACGGCGAGGCTGGCACAAGGGCGAGCTGGCCTCTCGCGGGGCGTCGGGGTCCAAAGGGCTGCCTGCTCCCCCCCGAGGGCGTTCGGGGAGGAGGCTGGGCACGACGAGGCGCGGGGCGACGATGTTGCGGATGCGGTGCGGGATGCGAGCACGGAGCATTCGGCAGCAAGCGGTGCGGCACGGAGGACATGGAGAGGGCGATCGCTGCTCGGAAGTGGGTGCTGGTGGAGAGGGCTGAGATCTGCGCAATCTACATCCTGGAGGGCGAGCGCGAGATGGAGGGCAGAAATCCCCTCAGGCGCGCTCGAGCGAGAGAGAGAGAGAGCCCCAGGCTCATGCAGGGCAGGCGGAAGCCCAGTTCACCCAACGTCAAGAGGAGCTGAAGGAAGTCACGAGGAGCCTGCACACCCTCCGGCGACAGCAGAGGCGACGCCCGCGCAAGCTGCGGAGCGATGCTCTGGCCGAGGCTGAACGGGTTGGCGATGCTGCCGCTATGCGGAGGATGGCCCACCTGTTGGGCGGGAGTTCGCGGGGGTCCCATCGTCGGGTCCACAATGCTCCGAGGCTGGAGCACACGGCTGCAGCGCGTCGGCAGATGAGCCGCGGAGCTGGATCAACGGCTGCACCGCGAACGGCTACGGCGTGGCCCTCTGCTTCGGCGCCTCTCTGTGGCGAAGGCCCAGGTGGCGGCCGACCGTGACTTAGCTTAAGTCGGGCGTGTCCCTCTACAGGAGGGATATTCAAATAAGTGAAACAATAGTCTGGGGACGACTTTTTCACTATTTTCGGTTATTTTCGGCGGTTTTTGGGTGGTATTTTTGATTTTTCGTCCCAAATCGGCCCGTAGGGGGACTGTCCCGACCCAAATTTCGCCGAACTGAGGGAACGGGTGCGGAAGAAGCTTCCGCCCCGGCGTGCTGCTCCTCCTTGGCCGGCGCCTGTTCCCAGCTGCCGGGCGTGCTCTGCGCCGCAGATCGCTGTCCCCAGAGGCGAGGGCCTCGGGATTAGCGGGCCGAGCCTCCGAGCATGCGCCACGTCGGCTCCCTCCTGCAAGGCGCTCGGGGCCCCTGCTCTCCGTGGGCGGCGGCGGCGGTGCCTGCGTCGTCGTGGCCGCCGGCGCTCCGTCGCGCGGCTCTCCGGCTGGGCAGGTCTGCGCCGGGGGCGAGGGCGACTCGCGGCAACTTGGCGGAGGAGGGCTCCCAGCGCTGGGCGATGCCCGCCGTCGTTGTCCGCCAGGTGCTGCAGATGGCCGAGGGTGAGCAGGGAAGTCGGGTCACGCGGCTCGGATTCTACATCCGCGCGCTGCGCCGCCCCTCGGGTGGGCGCTGTTCGGTCAGCTGCCTTCCGTGCTGGAGGAGGTTCTTTTGGCCGACGGACGACTTGGGGATGCTGCTGGTTGGTCCGAGCAGGGGGAGGCACCCCATGGGGCTGCTCGCTCCTGGCGCCCTTCGCGACGAAGTGTTACGATTGGATCCACGGGTATTGCGCGTGCAGGGCTGGGCTGCTCAGTTCCCTCCCACGCGGGATACGGCGCCTGCGGTTGGGCATCGTTGGCGGGCGCTGCGCGGCGGGGATTTCCGCCCTGCGAGCCTCCTGGTTTCATTGCTGTCGGGGGCTTTGATTCTTAGGCTTACGCCACACCGCCGACCCCTTGTTTATGCCAATCTGGGGGTAGTAGAAGCTGCGAAGGGGTGAAAAGGCGAGTGATATTTGTTTGGTGTCTGTTCGCCGCCACCGCCAGAGGGTCTCGGGCAGTTCCGCGGGGAGGTCCGAGCGGACAGCGACACTGCGAGTTTTGGAGCCACTCGGGGGCCGTTTCGGAGCCTCTGGGGTGCTTCTTGGGGGTTCCTTGGGGCGTCTGGGCGGCCTCGTGAGGGCCTCTGGGGGCCTCTTGGGGCACTCTTGGGGCCCCCTGGGGCTCCTGGGGGCAGAAAGCTAGAGTTTCAACATGTTTGGTCGCCCTCTTGGGCCCCTCGTGGTGCCGTCTTGGAGCCCTCTTGGGCCGTCTTGGGGACCTCTTGGGCCGTGTTGGGGCCGTCTTGGGCCGTCTGGAGGCCGTCTTGGGGGCCTCTTGGGCCATCTTGGGGCTGTCTTTGGGGCCTCTTTGGCCGTCTTGGAGCGTCGGGAAGCCGAAAAGGCGGAAAAGCAAAACACATCGAAAAACACTATGGAAAATCAACAATTTTAGACTCTTGGGGCCCTCTTGGGAGGCTTGTTTGGGACCTCGGGGGCCGTCTTGGAGACCTCTTGGCCCGTCTTGGGGCCATCTTGGGCGTCTTGGAGGGGTCGTTTGGCGTCTCGGAGCCTTCGTGGGCCGTCTTGGAGGCCTCTTGGGGGCTTCTTGGCCCGTCTTGAGGCCCTCTTGGGCCCGGAAAAGCCCTGGAACCGCTCGTCCCGGCCGTGCTGCGCTCGTCCTGGCCCCCTCCCCGCCTCCAAATCGGCCCTCTTGGGCCGTCTTGAGGACCTCTTGGGCCGTCTTGGGGCCGTCCTGGGCCGTCTGGAGGCCGTCTTGGGGGCCTCTTGGGCCATCTTGGGGCTATCTTTGGGGCCTCGTCGCGCGTCTTGGAGCGTTGGGAAGCCGGAAAGGCGGAAAAGCAAAACACGTCGAAGAACACTATGGAAAATCAACAATTTTAGACTCTTGGGGCCTTCTTGGGAGACTTGTATGGGACCTCGGGGGCCGCCTTGGAGACCTCTTGGCCCGTCTTGGGGCCATCTTGGGCGTCTTGGAGGCGTCGTTTGGCGTCTCGGAGCCTTCGTGGGCCGTCTTGGAGGCCTCTTGGAGCCTTCTTGGCCCGTCTTGAGGCCCTCTTGGGCCCGGAAAAGCCCTGGAACCGCTCGTCCCGGCCGTGCTGCGCTCGTCCCGGCCTTCTCACCCCCTCCAAATCGGCCCTCTTGGGCCGTCTTGGGGACCTCTTGGGCCGTCTTGGGGCCGTCTTGGGCCGTCTGGAGGCCGTCTTGGGGGCCTCTTGGGCCATCTTGGGGCTATCTTTGGGGCCTCTTTGCCCGTCTTGGAGCGTCGGGAAGCCGGAAAGGCGGAAAAGCAAAAAACATCGAAAAACACTCTGGAAAATCAGCAATTTTTGACTCTTTGGGCCCTCTTGGGAGGCTCATTTGGGACCTCAGGGGCCGTCTTGGAGACCTCTTGGCCCGTCTTGGGGCCATCGTGGGCGTCTTGGAGCGGTCGTTTGGCTTCTCGGAGCCTTCGTGGGCCGTCTTGGAGGCCTCTTGGGGGCTTCGTGGCCCGTCTTGAAGCCCTCTTGGGCCAGGAAAAGCCCCGTGGAGCGCTCGTCCCGGACCCCCCCCCCCCCTCCAAATCGACCGGACCGGGCTCCCGGGGGAGGGGTTTGGGGAGGGGGAAGCATCTCACACGCCGATGATCCCCAAGGGGTCGGCGGATTTCGCGTGTCAGGGGCCGCGCGACCAGGGCGCGCGCGGAACTGTGTTCGATGCGGAACGCGCTTTGCTGTGTCACGAGGGCCGTCGTCGTCGATATCGGTTTGTGGAGGCTTCGCTCTTGTTTCTTAACCAGTGCGGATTATGTCTGATTGTTCTTGCCCCCTGGGTTTCGGCTACGTCGCGTGCTCGATTCGCTTGTCCCGACGTTGTTGCCGACACGGGCTAGCATGTGGATCGCCGACAGTGATCGCTCCCGCTGAGATCGTCTGTGCTTTCAGCGGAGTCCGTTCTCAGACACTGCCGCCGCACCACAGCCACTCCTTTTAGCAACACTCCGTGGGCCGACGGCCTCAGCTCGCGCCCGCGCGATCTCCCGCGCCCCTTCTGCGACGGCATGGCGGCCGAGGCCCCCCAGCGGGCGCTGGCGCTAGCGGGGCCGGCCGGCGGCGCGGCGGCTCCGGCGGCCGACGGGCCTCCAGCCGAGAGGCGGGCGTGGCGGCGCCTCAAGACGCTGCCGGGAGATGGCGGCGGGGGCGAGGTCGAGGACGCGGCGCGGCGCGCGGCGCGGCGCATCCCGAAGCTGCGAGGGCGGCCAAGCTGGCGGGGGAGCGGCTGGGCGGCTTCGAGGAGACCCTGAAGCCGCTCGCCCGCCTCGTCCTCGCCCGCGACCTGCAGACCAGGGGCCTCGAATCAGCCGCATACCTCGCGCTCGAGCTTCTGGTCGACCACCCAGTCGTCGCGACCACCCAGTCGCCGAGGCCGCGAAGGAGACGGGCAGGGCCTACAGCGCCACGTGCCACGGCAAGAGCCCCGAGGTCCAACGGATGGCGCCACCCACGGCGTACACCTGGCGGAGGCGGCAGCGCGGGCCCTGGTCAACTCCCGCGAGGCTCAGGGTTGCGAGGTGGCGGCCCCCTTCAAGGAGATGCGCGAGGCGTTCACCGGCAGGTCCTCTACGATGCGGCGAAGGTTTTCAAGCGCTGGGACATGCACGACCAGCGCCGCTGCCGGTTGTGCGTCGCGACCTCCGAAGCCGAGGTCGCGAAGTGCTGCGAGAGATGGCGGTGCCCATGGCCGGGGCGGGGATCTGCCCTCCGGCAGGAGCGGAGGAGCCAACGGTCAGGCAGGCCATGCTGCGGCGGACGGGGCGTGGCAGACAGGCTCCCTCGCGGCGGCCTCGGTCCGCGCCCGGGGCCGCAGGCCTCCGAGGCGCCCCGCCTCGTCCCTGCGCCGCGGTCGGGCCGCCCGTCGGGCCGCGGCGCTCGGGGCCCCGCGGCGCGCGGGGCCGCGGCGGCCGGCCGCGGTGCGCGCGGGCCCGCGGCCTCTCTCCCGTCGGCGCGCGCGGCGGAGCGGTGAGGGCGTCGTGGCCTCGTAGTTTCTGTGTGGTCCCGGGGCCCTGTTGGGGGTGTGCGCGGCGACGTGTCTGATCCCCTTTCTCGGTGTAACGGCCGCTCCGCGGCGATTTGATCCCGGGGGAGGGGGGCTTGGTATCGCTCGGACGTGTGCATTTTTCCTTCGGCGAGGACCATCGAAGAGCATCCTTGATCATTTGGCGGAAAAACCACGCACGAAAAACCGACAACAAAAACACAGGGAATGGACGTCCGAGCGATGGCCAGGGGTGGGGGGGGGCGTGTTATGTTTCCGGTCATGGGCCCCATGCTCCGCCGCTCGATCAAAAGAGGGTCCTGCGAAAATGGTGGCGCCCATCCCACCTGGCGCCCAAGCCGTCCGACGATGAGTTGCTGATGGTCCGACAGCAGCATCCTCGCAGTATCCCGGTCGGCTTTTCTCATTTCGATCATCGCTCCCCTTCCCCAACCCCTCCACACTGTAATCTTGTCCATATTATTATGATTGCCTCTTCGGGTTCCTCCTCGCCCTCTACCTCCAGTTCCGTCCCCGCCCGCGTGGCGCATATACGCGCCGAAATGAAACGTCCCTTGGGAGAAGGAGGCTAATGTTGACGGGGGGGAGTTGCAGGAGGTGGACGAGGAGGAAAGTGTCGAGGAGAAGGAGGACGAAGACCCAGACTGCCCACATAGCATTTTTCAATGCGCGGCCCAAAAGGTCTGTAGCCCCCTCGCTGGGGGCAGTTTGTCGTCCCAGACGCATTTTCGATAGCGCTTTGGTCCCGAATACCGCCCTTGGCGGGAATAGTGAATTGCGTTTCTGCTTCCAGGTGGAAAAAAGACATGGCAATCTCTAGATACATAAATCCGCGCTTCCCCAAACAGTGCTTGCACTCAGGAGCTCTCATTACTCTAACTAATGAATCAGATGGGTGGTCCCGTGAGGCTTTTCCACGTTGCCGACCGTGGCCGCCTTGCCGCCGTGTGGCCGCCTCGTGCGCTGAGTGGGTCTGGCGAGGTTTCGCCTCGTTGCCGCCCGTGGCCGCTTCGTTGCCGCCTCTGGCTTGCACCACGCGTGCTGCACCACAGCTGAACCACATAACTTGCACCAAACAGCTTGCACCACACAGAATCCATACCCACGGTGCACTAATTGACCGTTTGGGGCCCGCGTTGTCTAGCACTTTTCTGTTGGAAGAACGCACGCGTCGGGCCATTCAATCCACCAGAGTTATGATGTTCCAACTTATTTTTGCCTGGATCACCAGGAAAAATGTCGAGCGCCCAGACAAGTACCCAAGAACTCAAGGGTTTTCACGTGTCGGGCCCTGGGAGACACTCTTTTCGACACTGTTTCGACACTCTTTCGACACTTTTCTTGGTCCCTCGGAATTATTTCTGGGAGGCGGTCCTCAAGTCGGATGGGCACACATAACACCAGAAGCCTGGGGAGGAGGTGTGCGGATCCCGCGGCGGTGCCACCGGCACGGGGCTGCGCCGGCAGCGCGCCGGAGGAGCCAGAAGGGCGGGGGACCTCCCAGGAGCAGGTGCGCAGGGCAGATCCCTTCGAGGCCTTTTCTCCGCATCCTCTTACAGTCGTCGTAGTAGTAGTCGTCGTCGTAGTAGTAGTAGTAGTAGTAGTAGTAGTAGTAGTAGTAGTAGTAGTAGTAGTAGTAGTAGTAGTAGTAGTAGTAGTAGTAGTAGTAGTAGTAGTAGTAGTAGTTAGTAGTAGTAGTAGTAGTAGTAGTAGTAGTAGTAGTAGTAGTAGTAGTAGTAGTAGTAGTAGTAGTAGTAGTAGTAGTAGTAGTAGTAGTAGTAGTAGTAGTAGTAGTAGTAGGAGTAGAGTAGGAGTAGGAGTAGTAGTAGTAGTAGGAGAGTAGGAGTAGGAGTAGTAGTAGGAGTAGGAGTAGGAGTAGGAGTAGTAGTAGTAGTAGTAGTAGTAGTAGTAGTAGCAGTAGTAGTAGTAGTAGTAGTAGTAGTAGTAGTAGTATAATTATTATTCTCCTTCTGATTATTGTTCGTCTTCTTCTTATTACTATTACTATTATGGTTCGTCTTGTTCTTCTTCGTCCTCGTTTTACTTCGACATTGTTTTCGCGTCCTCTGGCGCGTAGCGGTCGTTTTCCTGGCCAAACCTGCCCACCCCAGGGTGACGGTATAACGATCGGACGTGGGGAGGCGGGGTTGGACCCCGCCGCCTCCCTCATTTTGGGGTCCTTCTGTCCCTCACTCGTCCACCTTTCTCCCTGTCTCTCTTCCCTCGTCTCTCGTCGCCGCCCCCCCCCCCCCCCTCCCGATGGCCCCACAGGTCTCCGAAGTCCCATGCGGCCTTCGGATATCCGGCATTGGCTGGAAATTGTCCCACAACCTAGATCCTCCGTCCTCGACGCTGCTTCGTGTTCCCACCCTCCCACTCGTCCTCCTCGTCCTCGTCCTCTTCCTTCTCCTCTTCCTCCCGCCCCTCCCCCTCCATCCCGTGTCCTTTTACGTAACTCCTCCCTGTCGCACCACCATTGGTGTCGCTAGGGCGTGCCAGGCGTTTCGTCGAAGATTTCACCATGTCTCATCCTGAAGACTGAACGTTGCAACAATTTCACGCGAGGAGGGGGAGCGTTTTCAAAATGTAGTTCTCGCCCAAGCGCCGCGCATGCTCGCTCTTTAAAGTTTGCAGCGGCTTCACGGACGTAGGGTGTGATCGTTATCAAAGTGTGTTCATTGCTTTAGCGTTGTGGAGGACGATCAATGGAGAGGAAGCACGTTGCCAAATAAGTTCCAGATGTCTACAACATATGTTGAATATGTTTAACCATATAAATCAAGTTTAAAACATGCATAGAACACTTTCCGACATTTCAAACACATCTTAAATTCAATGAGAGGCTGTTAGAGTGTCCACTGTCATGGCATCCACAACCTTAGTGCCGCTTTCATTATTTTCGCAAAAGTTTCACGGATGGAGGGGGTAGTGTTCAAAATGTGATTCTCGCGTTAGTGCCGCGCACATTCGTTTTAAACATGTGCAGGAGTTTCACGGATGGATTGTCGGTCGTTTTCAATATGTTGGGTTCCACGGATGGGGTGTTTTTTTTTTTTGTTCAAAATGTGGTTCTCGCACTGACGCCGCGCACATGTTTTCAAGAGCAATTTCAAGGATCGAGGGGGGGCGTTTTCAAATTGTTGTTCCCTCCTGAGCGCCGCGCACATTCGTTTTGAAAGCTTGCAGCCGCTTCACGAACGGAGCGTTGTCCAAATGCGATTATCTTCTAGCGCCACGCATTGGTCAAAAGTCTGCAACAGCTTCACGGACGGAGGGCCGTTTTCAAAATGTGGCATGGTTGTTGGTGCCCGGCGCATTTAGTTTAACAGTTTCCCCCAGATTCACCGACGGGGCACGCTTCTTGTAGTGATGAAGCGGACTTGTCGATGCGTGTGAGTAAGGGACTTGAGGCGGGAGGGTGTACTGCGGCAGCCCTCAGAAGTGCTTGATTAGGTGCTCATGGCAAACGCAGGTTTGATCTGATACGTTGTAAACTGGCGAACCGTGCCAGGAGATGCCTAGGCGCCTCACGAGATCAGACGAATCCAGTGCCCCTGGAGCTCGATTCCGATTCCGAATCCGCCCCCGCCTTCCTTCGGCATCACTCAAACATGCTACTAGGTGCGCGTCTGCATCCCATGGGCGACGCGCGCGCCGAAAAATCCTATAGCCTACGGTAAGTGGCGGGCGCTCTCTGGCCACACAGCTCGGACACAATGTACACTACAAGATGTTCGCACTGTACGCTCAGATCTGACGTGCGGCTCCGACAGAGGCACACAGTACCAGGATGTCCTTCTGCGTCCCATTCCTCCCCCGTGCTCCTCCTCATCCGAGGAGGAGGAGAGGGAGGAGGAGGAGGAGGAGGAGGACAGGAAGACAAGGATGAGGGGAGGAGGAGGAGGAGGAGGAGGAGGAGGAGGAGGAAGGAGGAGGAGGAGGAGGGGGAGATGGAGGAGGAGGAGGAGGCGGAGGAGGAGGAGGAGGAGGAGGAGGAGGAGGAGGGGGAGGAGGATGTGGAGGGAGAGATGGAGGAGGAGGAGGAGGAGGAGGAGGCGGAGGAGGAGGAGGAGGGGAGGAGGAGGAGGAGGAGGAGGAGGAGGAGGGAGGGGAAGGAGGGGGAGAAGGAGGAGGAGGAGGGGGAGATGGAGGAGGAGGAGGAGGAGGAGGAGGAGGAGGAGGAGGAGGAGGAGGAGGAGGAGGAGGAGGGAGGAGGAGGAGGAGGAGGAGGAGGAGGAGGAGGAGGGGAGGAGGAGGAGCAGCAGCAGGAGGAGGGGGAGATGGAGGAGGAGGGAGGCGGAGGAGGAGGAGGAGGAGGAGGAGGAGGATGTGGAGGGGGAGATGGAGGAGGAGGAGGAGGAGGAGGAAAGGCAGGGGAGGGAGGAGGAGCAGCAGCAGGAGGAGGCGGACGGAGGCCCGCCCGCTCCTCCCCGGCCAGAGCAGGCCCTCGCGAGCCTCGCGGCGGGGGGCGCGCGCGCCGCAGGCGGGGGGGCCTGCCGCGGGCCGTGCCGGGAATGGGGGGCTCGCGGGAGCCGGTTGCGCGCCAGCGGTCGAGTATCGGTCCGGACGAGGAGTGTCTGGCTCTAGAGCGCGACGAGCGACCTCTAGACCGCGACTCGGCGGCTACTGAACGCCCATCTCGAACAAGAGCAAGGTACGTGAGCATAGACTCTCGGAGGCCCTCTCGGATTTCTCCGGGGCCCTAGTGGCCCCAGTGGCGTCTCCGGCGCCTCCCATGGTGCGCTCCGCGCGCCGGGGAGGAGTGTCCCGCGCTCATGCGAGAGATCCGCTCGGACCTACGGAAGTTTACTTGGAAAGTGGATACATATGGGACGTTCAGAAAGGCCTTGTCTTCGAGGATCGAAGGAG